ACTGTCTCCAGGCAGCTCCTCCACCCTCCAGCCGTCCCCGCCATGCTCCACATCACACCAGCCCTCCAAGTCCTCTGTAGGGACACGACAGCCCCACCCTGGTCACTCAGTCCCTGCTAAGGCTGTGGCAGGGCTGGCTCTTGCCACTATGTGGAGGTGGGCAGGGCAAAGGTGGCACTTGGTGTCTGGGTGGGCAGATGATGAATGAGAGAGTGAACCAGTGGGCACTTTCTAAATCTGCCTCCTGGCAGGTATGTCCCCCATCCCGCCCTGCTCCAGCTGGCTGAGGGTGGGAGGAGCCGGGAGACCCCAGGACGCAGGTGGCCAGCGAGGTACAGTAATAGACAGCCTTGGGGCTACCCATTGCTGGCACTGAGCCAGGCGCTTCAATTTCTCCCTCAAAGCCAGCCGGCGCCATTTCGGCCCATTTCGCAGCAGGGGAAGCTGAGCTCGCCCGGCGAGGGCTTCTCACCTTCCCCGCATGGGTTGCGCAGAAGGTTGCGGCGCCGCTTGCTCAAGAAGTAGAACTGCTGCCAGTGGTCGCGCTCCTCCTCCGCGCCGCCCTCGGGCACCAGCCCCTCCTGCTGGCACTTGAGCAGCCACAGCGGGGCGCCGTCCACCAGCTCCTTCCAGCGCAGGCACACCAGGCGGCAGGCCTGCACCAGCTCGGCGGCCGGGAGTGCGGCTAGCACGCGCAGCAGCAGCGGCTCGGGCAGCTCGTCCAGGTACGCGGCGGCCACCGCCTCCTCCTCCTCCTCTTGGTCCTCCGGCCGCTCCTCCTCAGCGCTCGCCTCGTCCGGCTGCTCCTCCGGGCTTGCCTCCTCGGGCTGCCCCACGCTTTCTGCAGGCAGGGGTGGGTGGGGGGTTGTGATTCCCCCACCCTGTACCCCTCCAGACCCCAGGACTGCAATGTGCCCATATCCTCCCCCACCCACCTTGGGACAATCCACAGCTGGGGTTGGAGATTCTGTAACTACAGACTGGTGCCCAAGGAAGAAGGCCACAGGGCCAGGGACCAACCCTGGATCAGCCTCTAAGTCCAAAGAGGTGCCTCAGAGGCCTGTTTCCTCTGCTGGACCAGTAAAGCCCAGGCCTGGGCAGATGGCAGCAAGGATCATATTTTTATTATTAATGACATCCATCTATAGCACTGTACAATGCTTCACACCGGAACTTCTTTCATCCTCCCAACCACCCTCTGAGATCCCTGCTCTCCTCACCTCCTCAGGAAGCCTTCCGGGATTTCCCCCTATGACACCTTCTCACAGCCCTTCCTAGCTTTTGTCTTGTGGTGTGATCCTATGATAAACGCCTGTCTCTGGACCATACGGAGCTTCACGAGGGCCAGAACATGGTCTGGAAAACACAGCTTCATGTCCTGTGCCTGGCATCTGGCACTTTCCCTGGTCTGTTGTCAGGAACTCATGTTTTGGGGGTACTCGGCAAGTGTTAGCCACTGTCCAAAGCATTTCAACTTCATTTACTCTTTAAATCCTCATACCATTTCTTTGAGGTTGCTCTTATTGCTGTCTTTATTTCATTGATGAGGAAACTGAGGCACAGAGAGGTGAAACAGCCCAGGATCACACAGCTAATCAGTGGTTGGAGCCTGGATTTGAACCCAGACAGCCTGGCTCCAGAGCCATCTTAAACCACCACAGCCTCCACAAACTAATTCACTGAATTAGTAGGCAGTGTTAGGATTCTGACTTTTTTTTTTTTTTTTTTTTTTTTGAGATGGAATCTCGCTTGCTCTGTCACTACACTCCAGGCTGGAGTGCAGTGGCATGATCTCGGCTCACTGCGACCTCTGCCTCCTGGGTAGCTGGAAGCTGAGAAGCGAGTCTTCTGCCTCAGTTTCCCAAGTAGCTGGGATTACACGCATGTGCCACCACACCTGGCTAAATTTTGTATTTTTAGTAGAGATGGGGTTTCGCCATGTTGGCCTGGCTGGTCTCAAACTCCTGACCTCAGGTGATCCACCCACCTAGGCCTCCCAAAGTGCTAGGATTAAAGGCATCAGCCGCCACGCCCGGCTGACTTTTATTTTTAAAGATAGGATCTCACTCTGTTGCCCAGGCTGGCCTCAACTCCTGTACTCAAGCAACTCCTGTACTCAACTCCTGCCTCGGCCTCCTAAAGTGCTGGGATTACAGTCATGCTCCACTGCACCAAGGCCAGGATTTTGACTTTGCAGGTGCAAATATTCAGGCTCAGGGATTAAGTGACTTGTTGAAGGACATACTGCCAGTATTTAGGGAAGGGGACATGGGACCTGGAGCCTTCAGGGGCTGGAGAACAGAGCCCAGAAACCCAGCTGTCCCCAGCTATTGTGTGATTTGGGGATGAGGAGGGACTTATTTAAATAAACCATAACAAGCAAGGAGATGACATAGGGCCTTGGGGAAGGAAACTGTCTCTACCTCCTTTTCCCATCCTTGGCCCTCAGTTTTCTCATCTGTAAATGGGAGTAATCATTGTGCTAGGCCATACAAACAGGACAGATGTCCAAATCCCCTGACGAGGGGGACAAGAGCATTCTGAATTGTAAGGAGGCAGGCAGATGTCACCGCAGCAGCCGGACTGTCTCTTGGATCCCCGTTGGCTTCAGCGGGGCCGTTACAGCCTTGAGTAAGTGGACACCGAGTGCCCCAGATGCCTGGATGAGGGAGAGCCAGTGAGGAGGAGACAGGGCCACTCTGGGTGATCAGGAAGACTACAGCTCTCAGACCTACGATGGGGAGCTCCCATGGGCTAGGCCCTGGAGAGTCAAGGCGGTGGTGGGAACAGGCCAGGCACTGGGGAAGGGGACAGGTGGCAGGGCCCAGACCCAAGTCTCCAGGCCCACCAGCCCTTAACCTCCTCACATGCAGCTTCTCCTCCCTGCCCAACACACAGTCGGGCCCTTGAGAGCTTTCACAGAGCCCAGAGCACACAGCGAGTCCTCAGTCAATCTTACTGAGTGAACCACATTGAACACAGCACTTCTCCTTCCTTATTAGCATTTTTTTTGGCCACATCTTTATGATGTGGGGATTTACACCTGCCCCTTCGGCAAAGAGGAAACTGAGGCCAAAAGGGGCTTAACAGCTTCTCCCAGACCACATCGCAGAACAGCAGGAAGACAGAGGAAAATGCCAAGCCCTGAAGCCACATCGCCTGCCCAGGCAGATGCCCACAGCTCTCTGGGGAGCTGGGCCCAGTGTCCTCACCTCTCCAGCCCTCCCCTCCGGCCCTGGCCCCATCGGACACCTGATGCTCCCCGAAAGGTGCACCTCACCCAGTCCCCTCTTCTGGCCCCGGGGCCTGGCACTCAAGGCCCCAGATCCAATTACAGCTCCCCCCACCCTCTCTCTTACACACACAACTCCCCACATTGTTGTCGGCAGAAAGTTATCTGGCCCCTGGAAGCTGCCTGCCTGCGAGGCTGATTCACTCACCTGGAGTGGGCCCCAGAGTCCAGGGAATAGCTGAGCCCTGGGAAAAAGCAGGAGCCAGTTTTGGAGCCCTACAGAGGGTGTGGCCAGAAGGCCGTGGATTGGGAGCAAGGGCTGCAGGAGCTGGGATTTTCAGGGCTGGAGGTGGGGGGAATGGGGGGTGGGGGGGGCCAGAGCTTTCATCAGTCTGTTTGCCACCGCATACCCCAAGCAATGCCCACCCCGAGCTGGACCTGATGAGGAAAGAGTGAGGGCTGTCTGCAGGCAGGTCTTGTTTCCATCCTGACTCAGCAGGCAACCCCTGCAGGCCCCGCAGGGAGTTGGGCGATTGGGGGTGAGGGGTCTTGGGTGCCAGAGAGGATGACTGGGCAGCCTGGGAAGGCTCTGAGCACCAGCCAAAGCTGCCCCCAATGCTCCCTCACCGCTGGCCCGGTCCCCACTGGGCATCTCACCACGCCGGGGAGGGGAGGGGCCGCCCCTCCAGACAAGGGAGCTCAGGAGGAAGGCAGGGATAGGTGAGGCCAGGCCAGGGACCCCAAAGAACCCACGGGGATCCAGGCGGCCCAAGGCCCTGAGCTGGAAGAGCTGATGAAAGAAAAGGCTCGCAGCCTCCGTCCCAGACGCATCCCAGGCGCCCGCCAGACAGACCCTCAGGAAGCTGGGAGGCGGGAATGTGGGGGTCCTCTCGTGCTACTTCCTGGCTAAATGGGACCCAGGAGTCCTCTCTCCCTGCCGGTCGCCTCTCAAGGCCTCCCGCCAGACCAAGATAGCAGAGAGATGTGCTCTTTGGAGACCGCCTCTAGGACTTCGCTGGCGTGAAAGTTTGCCGCGCCAGGTCTCCGGGCCCCCTCGCTCTCTGACTCCGCTCTGTGCAGCGCTCGCCCACCGACCCCATCTCCCCTCCCCGCCGCAGCGAGCGGTCCAGGCGGCGGCTACCTGGGTCACCGTCTCCGTCCATCGCTGCGGAGGGCGGTCGCGAGAGGAGGAGGAGCCGGAGCGCTGCGGGCTGCGCGAGTCCCGGGGCGGCGAGTACCGGCGCTGTCCGCGTCTGTGTCGGTCCCGGCGGCCGCGCCTCTTAAAGGCCCCCGACCCAACCCGCCCCGCCCCGCCTCTGGCCCCGCGCCCGGCCGCCCCGCAGTCCCAGCAATCGGCTCGAGGCCTGGGGCTGCGGGTTCCTCAGCGGACCCAGGAGGCTGGGAAAGGTCAGGAGGTGTTTTCGTTTAATTGGGGAGGGGTCCGATTTGGGGCATCTCCCAGCTCGCTCCTGGGGGACTGCTGGGAGGAGGCGGCGAGGGGAGGCAGGGAGAGGCTGGGTCAGGCCGAGGGTGCGGGGCGGGTGGCCCAAGCGTAGTCGGGGGATAGGAGGCGCCTTCCGCCCCACCCCCAACACCAGGTAATTTTCCTACGACGCGGCGGGGGGCGCGTCCCTGGCCCAGCGCTGCGCGGGGCGGGGCCCTGGGCGCGGGGGCGGGGCGCTGGGCTCGGGGGCGGGGCCTGGAGGGCCGGGGCGGAGCCTCACTTCCCCGGCAAGCGCAGGTCCAGGCGGTGCAGCTTGGGCGGCCCAGCGGATCGTGCCGCTGCAGCCGAGCGCAGGTGACCGGCAGGAGGGGGCGCGGGGGGCGCCGGGGAGGGGGCGCGGCTGGGCGGGGGCTGCCGGGAAGGCTCCTGGGTTCCCGGTCGCGCCGCAGTTGCCGAGGGAGGCCCGGCACCGACCAGGCCCAGGCCGCCGGGCCTGAACTGGCTGCGCGGCGCGGCCGCGAACGAGAGCTGGGGTCGCCATCGATGTGCAGGGGTCGGAGCCCAGACTTTGGGGGACATTTTAAAGCACAGCGTGGGAAGGGGAGGCTACAGGCGCGCTGGCAGACTTGGGGTGGAGGAGCCCAGCCGCGGGGCTGGGGGTGGGGGTAGGGAGTAGGGAGATAGGAAGGGTCCTTCCCTGTCGCCCACCCTCTTGCCACTCCCAGCTAGGCAGGAGGTCATGTCCTCTGAGATCCTGAGAAGGTGGCTGCAGCCCTTTGGACCTCCGGGGGAGGCAGTAATAATTAGCCTCCTCCTCCCATCATGTTCCGAGGATGGGAGAAAGGATGGTGATGACACTGGAGGCCTGGGGTGCTCTGCCGGGCTGCGCATAGACTGTCTGGCTTACTGAAAAAGGCTGGCCCTGGAATCAAAGAAGATCCCGGCTCCTTCCCCCTCTGCCCTTATTTTTGACCTTGGGCAGTGCCTTCCACGTTTGTTGTGAGAAGCCAGAGAAAAAAAATCAGAGCTCACCTTTTATTAAAGTACCTGATATGCCCTAAGCTCCTTGGACCGCCCCAGTGACCCCTGGAGGTAAGGTACCCATTTACAGAGAGGGAAACTGAGGCTGGGAGAGGCACTATGACTCTCCCGAGATAAATGACAGAGCAGGGATGAGGCCTGCAGCATAGCTTTTCAACAGCCACAGGAGGGTATCCAGAAGCCACTAGCCATGGCTGTGGGGAACATCAACGAGCTGCCTGAGAACATCCTGCTGGAGCTGTTCACGCATGTGCCCGCCCGCCAGCTGCTGCTGAACTGCCGCCTGGTCTGCAGCCTCTGGCGGGACCTCATCGACCTGGTGACCCTCTGGAAGCGCAAGTGCCTGCGAGAGGGCTTCATCACCGAGGACTGGGACCAGCCCGTGGCCGACTGGAAGATCTTCTACTTCCTACGGAGCCTGCACAGGAACCTCCTGCACAACCCATGCGCTGAAGGTGGGGTACAGGCCGGGTCTGGCATGCCTCCAGTACACACAGTTGTAACACCAGGAAAATGTATTGAGCACTTAGTATGAGCCACGTGCTTTGGATGGTTTAACACCTTTTCTCCTCTCACAGTAACCCGAAGAGGTAGCTACTGATAGTACACACATTTTTCAGATGGGCAAACTGAGGCCAAGAGTGGTGTTTCTTATTGTTACTCTACTCTTTTTTTTTTTTCTTTTTCTTTTTTTTTTTTTTGAGACAGAGTTTCACTCTGTCACCCAGGCTGGAATACAGTGGCGCAATCGTGGCTCACTGTAACCTCCACCTCCCAGGTTCAGCCTCCCAAATAGCTGGGATTACAGGCATGCGCCACCATACCTGGCTAATTTTTTTTTTTTTTGGATGGAATCTCGCTCTGTTGCCCAAGCTGGAGTGCAATGGTGCGATCCTGGCTCACTGCAACCTCCACCTCCCGGGTTCAAGGGATTCTCCTGCCTCAGCCTCCCGAGTAGCTGGGACTACAGGTGGGAATACAGGTGCCCGCCACCATGCCCAGCTAACTTTTTGTATTTTTAATAGAGACACGGTTTCACCATGTCTCTATTAAAATACAGGCTGGTTGTTAAACCAGCCTGTATTTGGCCAGGCTGGTGTTAAACTCCTGGCTTCAAGTGATCCGCCTGCCTTGGCCTCCCAAAGTGCTGGGATTACACGCATGAGCCACCACGCCCGGCCTCTTATTCTACTCTTTTTTTTTTTTTTTTTTTTTTTTTTTTTTTTGAGACAGAGTCTTGCTCTGCCACCCAGGCTGGAGTGCAGTGGCCGGATCTCAGCTCACTGCAATCTCCGCCTCCCGGGTTCACGCCATTCTCCTGCCTCAGCCTCCCGAGTAGCTGGGACTACAGGCGCCCACCACCTCGCCCGGCTAGTTTTTTGTATTTTTTAGTAGAGACGGGGTTTCACCGTGTCAGCCAGGATGGTCTCGATCTCCTGACCTTGTGATCCGCCTGTCTCGGCCTCCCAAAGTGCTGGGATTACAGGCTTGAGCCACCGCGCCCGGCCTCTTATTCTACTCTTAAGATTATTTCCCCAGTGACCTTTCCTAGGAAAGGGAATGTTGGCCAACTGAGACTAATTCTGCTTAAGACACAAGGCAAGGAAGTCAGAGCCATGTTTTGTTGGCCTAGTTTCTAGGCTCCAGGGTTGGGCCTACTGACATGGTCCCAGAGGGCCAAAGGGGTTTTGCTTGTGGAGGAATGGGAGATCCGGTCTTCTTCCCAGGATGTTACAACAACAGGTAAAGCAAGGTTTCTACTGATCCTTGCTTGCTGTGTTGTTGGGTAGACACTGGGATGGCATGGGAACCTCGTTTTCCACAATTTGACCAAATTCTGGAGCAAAATGATAATAAAACAACTCCTCCCAGCTGTCCATGAGCCAAATCTGGCTGAGGCATTAAGAATTGTTTTTATGTTTTTATTTATTTATTTATTTTTGAGACAGAGTTTCACTCTTGTTGCCCAGGCTGGAGTGCAATGGCACAATCTCAGCTCACCGCAACCTCCGCCTCCTGGGTTCAAGTGATTCTCCTGCCTCAGCCACTCAAGTAGCTGAGATTACAGTCATGCACCACCACATCCAGCTAATTTTGTATTTTTAGTGGAGATGGGGTTTCTCCATGTTGGTCAGGCTGGTCTCGAACTCCCAACTTCAGGTGATCCACCCGCCTCGGCCTCCCAAAGTGCTGGGATTACAGGTGTGAGCCACTGTGCTTGGCCTGTTTTTACATTTGTAAAGGATTATTTAAAAAAAAAAAAAAAGAGAGAGAGAAGAAACAACAACCAAAAAAACCATACAATAGAGATAGTTTGTGGCCCACAAGTCCTAAAATATTTTGGCACTTTGCCAAAAAAGCTTCCCAGCCCCTGTTCTTACTCCAGTTTACAGAGGAGACAACTGAGGCTCAGAGAGGGAAAGCAACTGGCCTGAGGTCACACAGCTGAGTACTGGTAGAGCTGGGACTAGACCCAGGTCTGTCTGGCCCACATCAGAGCGTTCTCCATCACAGAACGCATCTGGGCCAGGAGCAGTGGCTCATACCTGTAATCCCAGCACATTGGGAGGCCACGGTGGGTGGATCATCTGAGGTCAGGAGATCAAGACCAGCCTGGCCAACATGGTGAAACCCTGCCTCTACAAAAAAATACAAAAATTAGCCAGGTATGGTGGCATGCGACTGTAATCCCAGCTATTCAGGAGGCTGAGGCAGGACAATCACTGGAACCCAGGAGGCGGAGGTTACAGTGAGCCGAGATCGCACCATTGCACTCCAGCCTGGGTGATGAGCGAAACTCTGTCTCAAAAAACAAACAACAAAAAAAAAGTTTTTATGTTTTTGAAGGGTTATAGGAAAAGAAACAACAACAAACAAAAAACTATACAATAGAGAGAGTATGTGGGCCACAAGTCCTAAAATATTTTGGCACTTTGCCAAAAAAGCTTCTCAGGCCCTGTTCTTACTCCAGTTTACAGAGGAGTCAACCAGGGGTCAGAGAGGGAAAGCAACTGGCCCAAGGTCACACAGCCGAGTGCTGGTAGAGCTGGGACTAGACCCAGGTCTGTCTGGCCCACATCAGAGCATTCTCCATCACAGAAGAGGTCTGGTCATTCACATCACCATGTGTCTCAGGGCCCCCAGGGAAGTCACCTCCCTGTGCCTGCAACACAGGAAGCACCTAATACGCGGCGGCCATTGTGATCTGCAGTGTCCCACAGCACAGGGCTTGAGGGCAGCCGCCAAGATGCGGGCAGAGGAGTTGGGAGGAAGGGGCACTTGGGAGAAGGTGGCCACTGAGGGGCTTCCCTTCAGTGTGAACTCTGCTTTTCCATCAGAGGGGTTCGAGTTCTGGAGCCTGGATGTGAATGGAGGCGATGAGTGGAAGGTGGAGGATCTCTCTCGAGACCAGAGGAAGGAATTCCCCAATGACCAGGTCAAGAAATACTTCGTGACTTCATATTAGTAAGATCCGGGGACTTGGGGTAGGGGAAAGCCCAAATCAATTTACCCTGGGGTCCCTCCCACCCTGGAAAGGGGCAGTCCTAGCCCCTCACTGCCCTAGTGGTGAGCCCCAGCCCCTCCCACCCTTCTGCCTGCCCCCAGCACCTGCCTCAAGTCCCAGGTGGTGGACCTCAAGGCCGAAGGGTATTGGGAGGAGCTGATGGATACCACACGGCCGGACATCGAGGTCAAGGACTGGTGAGTGCCTGGGGCAAGGGTCTGGGGGGGGCATGCCAATCAGGCGCCCCACCCCTGCCCTGCCCCCAATCTCCGAGGCCCTGATGGGCCCTCCCTCTCCCTGCAGGTTCGCAGCCAGGCCAGATTGCGGGTCCAAGTACCAGCTGTGCGTTCAGCTCCTGTCGTCCGCGCACGCGCCTCTGGGGACCTTCCAGCCAGACCCGGCAACCATCCAGCAGAAGAGCGATGCCAAGTGGAGGGAGGTGCGTGGGCCTGGGAGGCAGGGGCAGAGGCAGATTGTCCAAGGCTGAGGCTGCGGTCAGATGGGGTCTAGGTTCAGATCCAAGCTCTGCACCTTCTCACCTGTGCTTCCAATGCTCTGAGCTTCACTCACTGCTTCTGTAAAATGGGTATATAGTGCTTCCGTCATAAAGCTCTGAAAGAAATCAGTGAAATGATGCTGGCAAGGCCAGGGCCAAAAAATATTCCAAAAGATTGGCAGGGCTCTTTGGCTCACACCTATAATCCCAGCACTTTGGGAGGCCCAGACAGCAGATCACCTGAGGTTGGGAGTTCGAGACTAGCCTGACCAACATGGAGAAACCCTGTCTTTACCAAAAATATAAAATTACCCAGGCGTAGTGGCGCATGCCAGCTACTCAGGAGGCTGAGGCAGAAGAATCGCTTGAATCCAGGAAGTGGAGGTTGCAGTGAGCCGAGATCGCACCATTGCACTCCAGCCTGGGCAACAAGAGGAAAACTCCATCTTAAAAAAAAAAAAAAGAAAAAAGAAAAAAAGAAAAAAAAATTCCAAAAGGTTGACTGTTTGACTGTTACTAATTACTAGTATTGATTATTACTGTTTTCTAGACTGGGATCAGCAAATATTTGTTTGTTTGTTTGTTTTAATTTACTTACATATTTTTAGGGACAGGGTCTCTGTCACCCAGGCTGGCGGATTCATAGCTCACTGCAGACTCAAATTCTTAGGCTCAAGCCATCCTCCTGCCTCAGCCTCCTGAGCAGCTGGGAGTACAGGTGCGCACCACCACTAATTTAAAAAAATGTTTTTTCTTTTTTTTTTTGTAGAGATAAGAGTTTTGCTTTGTTGCCCAGGCTGGTCTTGCACTCCTGGCTTCAAGTCATCCTCCTGCCTCAGCCTCCCAAAGTGCTGGAACTACAGGCATGAGCCACTGTGCCCAGCCCTAGCAAATGTTTTCTTAAAATGGCAGACATGAATATTTTAGGCTTTGCAGGTCACACTGTCTCTGTCACAATTACTCAACTCTCTAACTCTGCTGTTGTTGTGTGAAAACAGCTCTAGACAATATGTAAACGAATGGACATGGCTGTGTTCCAGTAAAACTTTATTTATAAAAACAGGCAGTGGGCCTGCAGGTCATCGTTTGCCAACCCCAGCCCTGTCTGATAGAACTTTCTGTAGTGATAGAAATGGTCTGTGTCTACACTATCCATAAAGTAGTCAGTAGCTACATGTGACCACTGAACAGTTAGTAAGATCCAGTTTCTAGTACAGCTGAGTACCTGAATTTTTTTCATCTAATTTTAATTTTTTTTTTTTTTTTTTTTTTTTTTTGAGATGGAGTCTCACTCTGTCGCCCAGGCTGGAGTGCAGTGGCGCCATCTCAGCTCACTACAACCTCCACCTCCCAGGTTCAAGTGATTCTCCTGCCTCAGCCTCCTGAGCAGCTGGGATTACAGGCATGCGCCACCACACCAGCTAATTTTGTATTTTTAGTAGAGACAGGGTTTCTCCGTGTTAGTCAGGCTGGTCTCGAACTCCCAACCTCAGGTGATCCACCCACCCCGGCCTGCCAAAGTACTGGGATTACAGGCGTGAGCCACCGCGCAGGGCAATTTTACTTAATTTTAGCTTAAATAATACATGTGCCCTGTGATGAGCATATTGGACATCCTTTGGCAGCTTGCAGTTTCTTTCCATTCCTTTGGGCTGAATGATAAACCTGTGGAGTGAACCAGCAGGATTTTGCTCCATTTTATAGCTGAGGAAACTGAGGCTCAGAGAAAGGAAATGATCTGTCCCAAATCACAGAGCTCAAACTAGAACTCCACTGATTTCTAGACTGGCACCAAGAACTCAGCCACTTCCTTGTTCCCCTGCCCCCCCTCAGGCAGTGCCACACTCAGGGTCAGCTCCCACCCTTTTTTTTTAAGGCTCATTTTCTTTTATTTCTTTTGTTTTTTAGAGACAGGGTCTCACTCTATTGTCCAGGCTGGAGTGCAGTGGCGTGATCACAGCTCACTGCAGTCTTGAACTCCTACCTTAGCCTGTACTCCTGCCTCAGCCTGCCTGGAACTACAGGCACACATCACTGTGCCTGGATAATTTTTTTTTTTTTCTTGTAGAGATGGTATCTCACTATCTCTGGTTTGCAACCAAACTAGTCGCAAACTCCTGGATTCAAACAACCCTCCCAGCTCGGCCTCCCAAAGTACTAGGATTCCCGGTGTGAACCACCACACCCAGCCTGAGTCAGCTCCCTTGACCTTTCTCCCCCCTCTACCTGCCCCGCCAGGTCTCCCACACATTCTCCAACTATCCGCCCGGCGTCCGCTACATCTGGTTTCAGCACGGCGGCGTGGACACTCATTACTGGGCCGGCTGGTACGGCCCGAGGGTCACCAACAGCAGCATCACCATCGGGCCCCCGCTGCCCTGACGCCCCCTGAGCCCCCATCTGCTGAACCCTGACTGGTAAACAACTGCTGTCAGAAAACGGCTGGGCTTGGGAAGGGGAGGTGGAGGCCAGGCGTCCCCACACCTCTGACCCTTGCCCCCAGCTGCCTCTTCTTTGTGGAGCCTCTCCGCGTGGGCAGCCCTCACATGCTGGGGTGGGGGCCAGCTCTCCCCAAAAGGTCTTGACCTGAATGATGGGTGAGGAAGCCTGCATGGGCCCCTTTCGGAGATGGAGCACCTGAGATGTGAGAGGTGCGGCGTGTTCCCCTGGGCCCCTCAGAAAGTCGAGCTTGGAGGCCAGCCTGGATCTGTCTCTCCCTTCCCCGCCTGGGACCATTCTACCTGTGTTCTTGGACCCTCAGAGCAGGGACAGGCAAGACATCTGGCAAGCCTGCAGCTGCCCTGATGGTGCAGGGAGGTGACCATGTAACTCAGACCAGTCTGGAAAGCGGAGGGTGGGCTCGTGGGCCATGCTCTGCCCCTGTCTGCTGCTCCCAGTCTCTTACTCTGCCTGCCTGCTCAGAAGAGGTGGCTTTAGCCCAGAGGCTCAGGCCCGGTCTGAGATGGGCAGACCCAGGGTGGAGTGGGGTCCAGGTCAGGTGTGGACTTTCCTCACTATCAATAGAGCCTAGAAGCTAGATGGGTGCCAGGTGGGGGTCAGGTTCCCAGAGGACTGAGGGAATCCTGCACAGGATGTCCCAGGGTAGGTGGGGAGCAGGGTTGGGACCCGCTCTGACAGCTGGACACGTGAGCCCTGGATGAGTATGGTAGGGTGTTTGAAGGATCCCCTGCCCACCTCCCAAATCCAGGCCAGACCCCCTGTGGCTTGGAGAGCATTCCAAGCCCCCACCCCACCCCTAGAACTGGCATTCCCAAGACCTCTGTCTCCCACCCAGCCACCCTTGGAACGTGCCTCTTGTCCTGCTGGAAGGACAGCAGTGTTCTCCTGACCTCGCCCTACTGCATGCAGTCAAATAAAAGGTGTGCCCAGCCTAACCTGTGCCCTGTGGTTTCTGGAAGGAAACGCAGACTTTAGGTGGTCCTGCCGGGACCTGCAGATGGTACAATGGTGTGGCTTCTGCCTAAGGTACAGAGGGGTTGGCATTTCAGGAACCAGACCATCACAGAAGCAGGTTCATGGGACAGACCCCTCAGTGAGCTGCAGGTGTCTCACCTGGCAGCCGTCCAGTACTGCTAGCTTCCTCTAGAGGCCCAGCCACAGGCTGGGGTTGGGGTGTGTGGGCATCTCTGAGCAGCCCTTGAGTCCACCTTGTGCCAGATCAGCAGTGCCACCCAGGCTCTGCCTCCTGGTGTTATTCTTTGCCAAGAGCTTTACTGACATTGGATGAAGCCGAAGCATTTAGAATGGTGCCTGGCACACAGCTGGTGCTTGATATGGTTAAGCCTTGTGTCCCCACCCACACCTCATCTTGAACGGTAATCCTGGGTGTTTAGGGAAAGACCTGGTGGGAAGTGACTGGATTATGGGGGCGGTTTTCCCCATGCTGTTCTCATGATAGTGAGTTCTCACGAGATCTGATGGTTTTACAAGTGACAGTTTCCCTGGCTCCCTCCTGCTGCCACGTGCTTCCGCTTCACCTTCCACCATGATTGTAAGTTTCTTGAGGCCTCCCCAGCCATATGAAACTGTAAGTCAATTAAACCTCTTTCCTTTATAAATTCCAGTCTCGAGTATTTCTTTATAGCAGTATGAACATGGACTAATATAGCACTTAATAAATACTCCTTACATTTAGCTATCTCAATCAAGGGTGGGCTAGATAAGGGCTTTGGCCAGGGCAGGATCACCATCCACCAGCCCATGGCAAACTGCAAAAGGACGGCCTTCCATGGAGAAGACGTAGCAATTAATGTGGCCTGGGCCAGTCCCCTTGTGCAGTGCACACCCTGCACAACCCGTGGTGGTTGCCTGAACAAGGTGCTTGCTAATTATTTGTTGACTGATGGAAGAAATTCATGAACTTACTCCTGACAAAAAACCTCAGAGGTTTTTTGTTTTTTTGAGACAAGGACTGGCTCTGTTGCCCAGCCTGCAGTGCAGTGGTGCAGTCTTGGCTCGCTGCAGCCTCCCAGGTTCAAGCGATTCTCCCACCTCAGCCTCCGGAGGAGCTGGGATTACAGACATGCGCCACCATGCCCTGCTAATTTTTGTATTTTTAGTAGAGACAGGTTTTTTGCCATGTTGGCTAGGCTGGTCTCAAACTCCTGACCTAAAGCAACCTTCCCCACCTGGGCCTCCCAAAGTGCTGGGATCACAGGCATTAGCCACCTCCCAGCCCCTCAGGTTGTTACCTGCGGAGGTCACGCCCTAGGGAAAGAAGGAGCCTGCTGGGTGTCAGCTCCTCCCTCTAGGGAGTGAACCGAGGGTCAAGGGTGGAGCCCTGGGCCCCTTAAAGAAGGAACTAGTGCGGAGGTCCGGTGAGCTGCCTCGCGTTCAGGGACTTTTGCCTTGCGGAGGAGTGGGGTGCAGGTGTGGGTGCTGAGCCGCCGGCCGCCTGGAGGGGGAGACTGAGCTTCGGGACACGCAGGCCGCAGCGAGGGCCCGGGCCCCAGGGACCTCAGGTTAGTCTTCCCGCGGCGAAGGTGCGGGGCCGGGCCGGGAGGGACGCAGCGGGGTCCGGGGCGGGGGTGGAGACCGAGCGCAGCGCGTGACGCGGCGGCGGGGCCGGGCGGGGCCCAGCGACGACGCCGCCGAGGCCGTAGGCTGGGGCCGACCCGGAGCTCCGCCGCTGCTTCCAGGTTGCGGCCCCGGGGGGACGGGCGGCGGGCGAGTGGGGAGCCGGGGTCTTAGGCGCCTGGGCGTTCACGGAGCCTGCGGGCGCTGGTCCGGGCGTCCAGGGCTGGGGGGCGCGGGCGGCTGGGCCCGGACTGGGGGCCTGGCCCCGGGGCCACCCGGGCGGAGGCTCTGCGGCCGCCTCCACCCCGGCCACATCCCGAGGCCATTGCCGGATTCGGAGACCTGTCAGGGGACCTCCAGGCCCCACGCGCCTGCGAGATCCGGCCTCTGCCTTTCCCCAGCCACGGTTTCTGTTTCCGAGAAACCGGTGAAGTAAGAGTGCCCCGAGAGCTTGCTGGGAGGGTGGGTGCGGTGAAGGCCAGCACGAGACGCCGGGCGGGGCAGTTGGGGAACCCGATCGGTGTGAGGGCTTCCTAGGGCTGGTATGGACTTCCCCACCACAAAATGCCCCGTGTGGGGGCGGGGAAGGGGCGCAAGAAAATGCGGACTGGGCCAGAGACCAGACTTCAGTCACCACGGTAGGAAGCTATTGGTGCCTAAACGCCTCTAGCTTGGAGCCCAGTGACTTTTATTTGGTCTAGAGTCTAGACAGTGACTTTAGAAGTTGCCAGCGTTTATTTATTTATTTTAGGCAGTCTTGCTCTGTCACCCAGGCCCGAGTGCAGTGGCATGGTCACAGCTCACTGCAGCCTCCACTTCCTGGGCTCAAGCGATCCTCCTGCCTCAGCCTCCTGAGTAGCAGGGACTACAGGCACGGGCCACCAGGTCTAGCTAATTTCTTTTCTTCTTCTTTTTTTTTTTTTTTTTTGAGACAGAGTCTCACTCTGTTGCCCAGGCTGGAGTACAGTGGTGCGATCTCAGCTCACTGCAACCTCCACTTCCCGGGTTCAAGCAATTCTCCTGCCTCACCCTCCTGAGTAGCTGGGACTACAGGCACCCGACACCACACTCAACTAATTTTTATATTTTTATAGAGACGGAGTGTCACCATATTGGCCAGGCTGGTCTTGAACTCCCGACCTTGTGATCCGCCCACCTCGGCCTACCAAAGTGCCGGAATTACAGGCATGAGTCCCCACCCCCAACCTAATCTCTTTTTTTCCTAGAGGCAGAGTCTCACTATGTTGCCCAGACTACAGGCATTTTTAATTGACAGGTTTTACATTTTTTTTCAAACGCTACATTTGCTTCTCATAACTTAGAAGACTTGGCCACGTTGAGTTTTTTTTTTTTTTTTTTCCCTATCAAAGCCTTTTTCTTTTTGACAGTGGTTGCTGTTGCCCAGGCTGGAGTGCCATGGAGGAATCATGGCTCACTCTGCCCCAGCAGGCTCCTTCTTTCCCTAGAGTGTGACCTCAGCAGGCCTCATGGATTCTAAGTTAGAAAACCTCTGAGGGGCCGGGTTTGGTGGCTCATGCCTGTGAGCTACTGCAGCCTTGACCTCCTGCGCTCAGGAGATCTTAACACCATAGCCTCCCGAGTAGCTAGGACCACAGGCACTGGCCACTATGCCCGGCGAATTTTTTCACTATTTGTAGAGACAGGGTCTCCCTGTGTTGCCAAGGTTGCAAAGCCTTTTTTCTCTTTTTTTTTTTTTTTTTTTTTTTTGGAGGTGTGTCTTGCACTGTCACCCAGGCTGGAGTGCAATGGCGCAATCTCGGCTCACTACAACCTCTGCCTCCTGGGTTCACGATTCTCCTGCCTCAGCCTCCCAAGTAGCTGGGATTACAGGTACACATGACCAAACTCGGCTAATTTTTTGTATTTTTAGTAGAGACAAGGTTTCACTATGTTGGCCAGGCTGGTCTCAAACTTCTGCCCTCCTGATCCACCCACCTTGGCCTCCCAAAGTGCTGGGATTACAGGCTTGAGCCACCGCTCCCAGCTTGCAAAGCATTTTTCACGAGATACAAGTACCTCACCTGTTTTCTCTGCCATGTAAAGTGTTCCTCCCCGGGCAGGAGCCAGCATACACCCACCCTCCGGTTTTCTGGGATGGGAGCTTTCAGAAGACTATGAACTGCTGCTATGGCTAAGCCTCTATGGAAAATCAGAAGAGGCCACAGCAAAAGGCTGGGTGCAGTGGTTTACGCCTGTAATCCCAGCACTTTGGGAGGCCGAGGCGGGTGGATCACCTGAGGTCAGGAGTTCAAAACCAGCCTGGCCAACATGGTGAAACCCCATCTCTACTAAAAATAAAAAATTAGCGGGGTGTGGTGGCGGACACCTGTAATCACAGTTACTTGGGAAGCTGAGGCTGGAGAATTGCTCGAACCCAGGAGGTGGAGATTGCAGTGAGCTGAGATCCCACCACTGCACTCCAGCCTGGGCAACAAGAGCGAAACTCTGTCTCAGGGCTGGGGGAGGGGAAAAAAAAAAGAGGCCAGGAAGGTTCTGTTTCCCTGCTTGTGGGTAGAGAACATTCTCTCCTCATGTGTAAGCAGATGAGGCCCACCTGAGTGACAAGGCGGAGCCCTGGTTGCTGGCCAACCCCCACCTACCTGGGGCAAGTACCTGGGATCCCCTTAGGGGACTAATCAGGTGCCCCCAGGTAACAGATTCAGGCCAGGGCTGTGGCACTGCTTGAAGTTTTCCAGAACCTGTGTGCAGTGCAGAGGTACAGGGAGGACAGTGCTGAGGGCAGGTTTGTGCTGGCAGCAATGCTGACCAAAGATCTGTGCTTCACTTGGTTCTCCTGACCCTTCCAGGGTCGGGACAGTTACCCCCTCCTTTCCACAGCTTCCCAACTAGTCACTGCAGACCAGGATTCAAACCCAGGCAGTCTTCTCAGGCACCCTCCATCTGATTTTTGTTTTCCGACCATCTCCAAGTAGATTCTGGCCTGACACCCAGGGCAGCCCAGCCGGGTGCTGTGGGGGCTTCCCATGGGGTTGTTTTATCACGTCTGACTTCCAGGCCAGAGTGAGCTTCTGGAGAGAGGCAGGTGGTTTCTCAGCACTAGCCATCCACTGAATGAACATTCATGAGTCTGGGATGTAAAACTGATTTTATATTCTGGCCGGGCGCGGTGGCTCACACCTGTAATTCCAGCACTTTGGGAGGCTGAGGTGGGTGGATCACGGGGTCAGGAGATGGAGACCATCCTGGCTAACACGGTGAAACCCCGTCTCTACTAAAAATACAAAAAAATTAGCTGGGCGTGGTGGCGGGCACCTATAGTCCCAGCTACTCGGGAGGCTGAGGCAGGAGAATCTCTTGAACCTGGGAGGCAGAGGTTGCAGTGAGCCGAGATCACGCCACTGCACTCCAGCCTGGGCAACAGAGCAAGACTGTCTCAAAAAAAAAAAAAAAAAAAAAAAAGATTTTATATTCTTTTTTTTTTTTTTTTGAGACGGAGTCTTGCTCTGTGCCCCAGGCTGGAGTGCAGTGGTGCTATCTCGGCTCACTGCAAGCTCCGCCCCCCGGGTTCATGCCATTCTCCTGCCTTAGCCTCCCGAGTAGCTGGGACTACAGGCGCCCGCCACCACGCCCGGCTAATTTTCTTGTATTTTTAGTAGAGACGGGGTTTCACCGTGTTAGCCAGGATGGTCTCGATCTCCTGACCTCATGATCTGCCCACCTCGGCCTCCCAAAGTGCTGGGATTACAGGCTTCAGCCACCGCGCCCGGCCGATTTTATATTCTAACAGTGAATCCAGAGCATTAAAATAACAACAATCACCAAAATCCTCACAGAACTTTGCAGATAAGTGTGGCCTCCACAGAATCTTACAGTCCACCCAAACCACTGGCTTTAAAATTAAGCGATTTTTTCTTAAATTGGGGAGGGGCCTTTTAAAATATGTGTCTCTAAAGACTTTCCTACTTGTATTGTACTCTTCTGAATGTGGGTCCCATGACTACTCTTTCCACTGAGGGGCTACTGTTTACTGGAAGGACCCTCAGCCTCCGAAATGCTCTTTTGTGGTTTTTTTGTTTTTGTTTTTGAGCCAGGTTCTTGCTCAGTTGCCCGGGCAGGGGTGCAGTGGCGCAATCATAGCTCACTGTAGCCTTGAACTCCCAGGCTCAGCCTCTGCCTCAGCCTCCCAACTAGCTAGGACTCCACGCGTGTGCCACCACACCTGGCTAATGCAGGGTTGGAGAGGAGTCCCTGGCCTAGACCTCCCTGGTCAGGCTCATAACCGCTGTTCCCCCGCCACAGGCCATGGATGCTCCCCACCCCAAGGCAGCCCTGGACAGCATTAACGAGCTGCCCGAGAACATCCTGCTGGAGCTGTTCACGCACGTGCCCGCCCGCCAGCTGCTGCTGAACTGCCGCCTGGTCTGCAGCCTCTGGCGGGATCTCATCGACCTCATGACCCTCTGGAAGCGCAAGTGCCTGCGAGAGGGCTTCATCACCGAGGACTGGGACCAGCCCGTGGCCGACTGGAAGATCTTCTACTTCCTACGGAGCCTGCACAGGAACCTCCTGCGCAACCCGTGCGCTGAAGGTGGCATGGGGGCAGGGTGGAGGCCGCCACCGGGCTCGTTCCTTCCCATCCTTGGGCCTTGGCACTTGTGATTCCCACGCTACCTGGAATGTTCTCTAATCCTAAACACCCACCTCACTCCCTTGGTTCCTTCTCATTCTTCAGGTCTCAGTTCAGAGACCTGCCCTGTGCTCCCAATCTAAAAACAGCACTCTCCACCTCCAGCATAGCACCTCCATTTCATGCCCTGTAACATTTTTGACCAGGCGCGGGGGCTCACGCCTGTAATCCCAGCACTTTGGGAGGCTGAGATGGGCGGATCACCTGAGGTAAGGAGTTGGAGACCAGCCTGGTCAAAATGGCGAAGCCCTGTCTCTACTAAAAACACACGAAGTTGGGCATGCTGACCCACACCTAGAATCCCAGCTGCTCGGGAGGCTGAGGCAGGAGAATCGCTTGAACCTGGGAGGCAGAGGTTGCAGTGAGCTGAGATGGCTCCACTGCACTCCAGCCTGGGCGACAAGAGTGAAACTTAGTCTCCAAAAGAAAAAGGTTTTTTTCAGAATTTCCTTATTTTTTTCTGCCACAAACTTCAAGTTCCAGTGGCCAAATGGACATTGTTTGCTACACTATAGCATCCACAGTGACACCCGCACATAGCAGGTGCCCAAGAAATGCTCGTTGAAAGAACAAGCACACTGCAGACCCGCCTGTCCCCCAGAGTACAGCCCAAGCTGCCTCATGTTGACCAAGGGCCTCCTCTGTGTCAGGTATTCATGGGAGATCTTTACAAATGTACTTACCCATCCTCCTGTTAGCCCCATTATACAGACAAACAAAATGAGGATCCAGAGGGGCCTGTGATCACAGCTGAAGGTCCCCACTTAGCCTGTTACATTCTCTTGTATTTCCCAGGCATTTTTTTCCCTTTTCCCTTCCTTCGTTTGGTACCTGCTATGTACCAGGCACCACGCTTCCCATATATATTTTTTTAAATTAGAGACAGGGTCTCACCGTGTTGCCCAGACTGGTCTCGAACTCCTGGGCTCAAATGATCTGCCTGCCTCAGCCTCCCAAAGTGCTGGAATTATAGGCATGAGCCACCATCCACCCCGGACACACCATACTTCCTGTTGGGACTCCAGCAGCAACTGATTTTGAGACCTGGTTTGTGTACTTAGAACCTCCTTGCTATCTCTGTACTCTCTTCATCCTCATCAGGATCCTGGGAGATTGGCCGGGTGCAGTGGCTCATACCTGTAATCCCAGCACTTTGGGAGGCTGAGATGGGCGATTACTTGAGGTCAGGTGTTCAAGACCAGCCTGGACAACATGGTGAAACTCCATCTCTACGAAAATACAAAAAAATTAGCCAGGCATGGTGGCAGGCACCTGTAATCTCAGCTCCTCAGGAGGCTGAAGCAGGAGAATCGCTTGAACCCAGGAGGTGGAGGTTGAAGTGAGCCAAGATTGTGCCACTGCACTCCAGCCTGGGAAACAGAGTGAGACCCTGTCTCTGAAAAAATAATTTAAAAATAAAACAAATAGGCCAGGCACGGTGGCTCATGCCTGTAATCCCAGCACTTTGGGAGGCCAAGGCAGGCAGATCACTTGAGGTCAGGAGTTCGAGACCAGCCTGGCCAACATGGTAAAACCCTGTCTCTACAAAAAATACACAAATTAGCTGGGCATGGTGGTGGGCACCTGTAATCCCAACTACTTGGGAGGCTGAGGCAGGAGCACCGCTTGAACCTGGGAAGCGGAGGTTGCAGTGAGCTGAGATCGCGCCACTGTACTCCAGCAGCCTGAGTGACAGAGAGACACTGTCTCTCTCTCTCTCTCTCACACACACACACACACACACACACACACACACACACACACACACAGAGGAACCTGGGAGATGCCAAGACAATTAGGGTGGACTCCATTGTATAGATGGGGAGCTTTGGGCCCGAGATGAGTGACTTCCCCAAAGATGCACAATTGCCCAGCTTCCAGGGTTTGGTCCTGACAGATAAAGGCCTCAAACTCCCCCCACCCCAAATCCCAGAGCCCCCATAGACAGCGCCTGACACTCAGTCCCTCTGCCTGCCCCAGATTTCATTCAGAAGCTGCCCAGCTAAGCTGCCCACTCGGCTTAACACGGCCTAACGGAGCTGGCCTTGCAGCCTGGCCTGCCCAGGGCTGGCAGTGTTCAGTCAAGCCTTGCTGAGATACCCCCAGGTCTGTACTCAGCGTCAGCCCAGCTCCTAGATTTCTGTATTACTCCTCTGGTTCTCTACTGGGGACCCCAGAGCACCTGAGAATAGCGGGCTTCTGGAGGGGGAGCAAGCCATTGGAAAAGTGCCCCAGTGATTGCCTGGGCAGCACCGGTAGAGAAGCGCCCTTGTTTTCTAAGGTCCTCTAAGTTCAGTGTGAAGAGGGTGATCGCCCCCCTGAACCCACCAGGCCCACCTAATGGAAGTCCACCCATGAATGTTACCACACCGCCCAGCCCAAAGGGTACTGGTTCCTCCACTTAGCACTCTTGCCCTGGGCCATCTGGGCCCTATGGGAATCTTGGTTCCCATGACCACCAACAAACCCACAAACCCATCCTCTAGGGCCTCCAATCTGGGTTATGTCGTTAACCAAGGGCCTCTCCCTCCTGGACATCTGGGGTGCCATCTGGGTCAAGTAAGCAGTCTGTGTTGGGATGAACACTTGTTAGCCTTTTTTAAAAAATTATTTTACTTATTTAAAAAAAGGAAAAAAAAAGGGTGTCGCTATGTTCCCTAGGCTGGTCTTGAACTCCTGGATTCAAGCGATCCACCTGCCTCAGCCTCCCAAAGTGCTGGGATTACAGGCCAAGCCACCGTGCCTGGCCTCACATTAGTCTTTGAGGACAGTACTCTCACAGGCCCCTCGTAATTTCATTTTTTGAGAACTGATACTTGGGTATTTCCCAGAGTTCCACCGCAACATGGAAGTGAGGAAGGGGTTGGTTTAGAATTTCTGGTAACATGCATTTTCTCCAGCTGTGTGTTAGGAGTGAGGCCAGTTTGGGACTGTGTGGGTGGGACAGAGTCAGGTCAGAGCTGATATGGTGAGGACAGGTGGGAATGTGTTGGAGGGGTGCTTTGTAGGGGTGCTCCAGGGTGCAGATGGGGTATACTTGGGCTGGTGGGGTACCTTGGCTACACAGTGCCCTTGAGAAGGAACAAGCTTGTTAACCCTTTGGTGTCCACAGCCCCAGAAACCTAAGCATGAGCAAGTCCTGCCTCCCAAGAAGATCACTAACGCCATACCACCCTCCCTCCCGCCCTCCCGGGACCAGGTGGGGAGGGCTGTATTTTGGATTTACACAGGGGGTCTCACCTCGGCTTCTGTTCTTCCTAGAGGATATGTTTGCATGGCAAATCGATTTCAATGGTGGGGACCGCTGGAAGGTGGAAAGCCTCCCTGGAGCCCACGGGACAGATTTTCCTGACCCCAAAGTCAAGAAGTATTTTGTCACATCCTACGAGTAAGGCAAACTGAACCTACCAGGCTTGCATGGAGGGGACAGAGGGTTAGGACACCTTTGCCAAGTCTCAGGCAAAGTCTTCTAAGGGAAGGCCTCTCTGTGAAGCTCAAGGGAGGTGGCCCCAAAACTTGCCCAGAGTCACTGCTTCCTGGAGTCACTCAGTGCTGTGTTCATGGACAGTGGGGGTGGGGATCACTGAAGCAGGCCAGGAGTCCATTGGGTGGTTAAGATAAGCCAGAGCTATCTACAGGCATCCATCCCTAAGCTAGGAACTTGAGTTTACAAGAGTGCCCTGCCTGGTGCCCTGGAACACTGGGCCTTTGGACTGGAATCAGATGCCACCCAGGCACAAGTGGGTCAGACTCCCTCCTACACTGGAGGAGAAACCAGTCAGCCCCAGCCAGTGCCTGTCCTGCAGCGGCCAAAGGATACCCTAAGTCCCCAAACCACCTCCCTGGGCTTACAGGGGCTGCCAAGGCTTGGGTGAGGGGGGGCCATGCATAGCACACCCAGGTATGCAAGCCCCCAACTCTGCTCCCCAGAATGTGCCTCAAGTCCCAGCTGGTGGACCTTGTAGCTGAGGGCTACTGGGAGGAACTACTGGACACATTCCGGCCGGACATCGTGGTTAAGGACTGGTGAGTAGGGTCCATGGCCTGTGTCCCCCACTCTACATGCTCGTCTTACTGCTGTGCCGGGTGAGACAAGCCATAGCAAGTGCCCACTGTGCCCAGCAGTGTCGTAGAGCCAGGTAGCCCTGGCCTCTGCCCCCACTCTGTGCCCAGACCCTGCGGCACCTCCTGGCCTCCCCACCACCCTGTGATGGAGTCAGCAGGACACAGCAGCGCCAGTGTGCAGATGAGGAGGCTGAGGCCCCCAGGTGGGTTGTCATGGACAGGCACTTTTTTTTTTTGAGAGTCTCGCTCTTTTACCCAGGCTGGAGTGCAGTGGCGCGATCTTGGCTCACTGCAACCTCCACCTCCCACATTCAAGCGATTCTCCTGCCTCAGCGTCCCGAGTAGCTGGGATTACAGTTGCCCACCACCACGCCCGGCTATTTTTTTAATCATTTTAATACAGATGGAGTTTCACCATGCTGGTCAGGCTAGTTTCAAACTCCTGACCTCAAATGATCCATCCACCTTGGCCTCCCAAAGTGCTGAGATTACAGGCGTGAGCCACTGTGCCCGGTCAACACTGACACGCACTTGGGCAACAGAGGACTCTCAGGCCTCTCTGGACTGGGTGGAAACCCCCAGGTCCCCTGACCTACCTGCCTCCCCGGCTCCTTTTCCTATTCATCCCATGACTCTTTTTTGAGCTCCTACTCTGTGCACAGAAGTGTGCCAGGCTCTGGCTTGGCCGGTGGCAGAAGCAGGACCCCAGTTCTAGGCAGGGCCCAGGGCCGCCACTCTGAGGATAAATGGGCGAGGCTGGAGGAGTATGCAGAGCTGCAGAGGGGAGAGGTGGCTGGGCTGGGCTGAGCAGAAGGTGAGCTCTGTGCCAGCCCCATTACACAGGCCACCCCCTTGACTCTCCCACTGAATCCACAGCCTGGTCCATTTTAAGTACAGGTTACGTGGCTTGGACAGACCAGGCCTCTCTGGAGGGGTCTTTTGCTTTTTGAGGTCACATCTTTAGTAGGATGCCTGAAAGGGTCCCTTTTCTCAGATGGGGTAACTGAGGCCAGCATGGACCAACTGCTTACCCCCAGGCCACAGTGGGGCATAGGGAGCACTGAAGCCAGCTGGGCCTAGCAGGCAGAGCAGTGTTGGCTGATGGGAAACAAAGCTCCAAGCTCCAATGTGTAGGTCCCCCCTGCCCCCAGTGCTGGGGCCAGCCCTCAGTAGCTTGGACACAGGGCTCTCAACCCCTCCACCAGGTTTGCTGCCAGAGCCGACTGTGGCTGCACCTACCAACTCAAGGTGCAGCTGACCTCAGCTGACTACTTCGTGTTGGCCTCCTTCGAGCCCCCACCTGTGACAATCCAACAGTGGAACAATGCTGCATGGACAGAGGTGAGGCCTCACCCACTTGCTCTCTCTACCCACTCCTCCCAGGGCCAGGATGGCAAGAAGCAAGGGGCAGCCTCAGGGCCCAAGGTGCCCCTGCTCTCTGGCCTGGAGCTGTTGCCTTCCCGCCTGGGCAGCTCTCTTAGAGGACCTGGCTCCTGCCTTCCCCTCCCCAGTCCTGGTGGTCACTTCCTGTCCCCTCCTCCCGGCAGGTCTCCTACACCTTCTCAGACTACCCCCGGGGTGTCCGCTACATCCTCTTTCAGCACGGGGGCAGTGACACCCAGTACTGGGCAGGCTGGTATGGGCCCCGAGTCACCAACAGCAGCATCGTCGTCAGCCACAAGAGGACCAGGAACCAGGCCTCCTCCGAGGCTCAGCCTGGGAAGAAGCATGGACAGGAGGAGGCTGCCCAATCGCCCTACCAAGCTGTTCTCCAGATTTTCTGACAGCTGTCCATACTGTATCCGGGTCAGCCAGAGGTTCCTCCATGCAGGAGCTGAGCATGGGGTGGGCAGTGAAGTCCCTGTACCAGCGACTCCTGCCCCGGTTCAACCCTACCAGCTTGTGGAAACTTACTGTCACATAGCTCTGACGTTTTGTTTTAATAAATGTTTTCAGGCTGGGCACGGTGGCTCATGCCTGTAATCCCAGCACTTTGGGAGGCCAAGGCGGGCAGATCACGAGGTCAGGAGATCGAGACCATCCTGGCCAACATGGTGAAATCCCGTCTCTACTAAAAATACAAAAAATTAGCCGGGCGTGGTGGCGGGTGCCTGTAGTCCCAGCTACTCGGGAGGCTGAGGCTGAGCTTGCAGTGAGCCAAGATCACGCCACTGCACTCCAGCCTGGGAGACAGAGCGAGACTCCGTCTAAATAATAATAAATAAATAAATATAAAAAACAAAAAATACATGTTTTCAGTAAAATCAACCTGGGGTTGATTTTAGGAGTGGGGAGAGGGGGTCCCTGGCATTTTGGTGGAGAAGCAGCACTCCCCCACCAGGTTTTCCCCTGGCCATACCTGTCCCTCCCACTCTGGTTAATGATGGCATCAGTTCAGCCCAGCCCTTGGGGCCCCTTTATTGAAAGAACTCACAGCACAGTATTTGAGACAGACAGTGTTTGCCGGCGGAACCCCAGGAGGCTGAGAAGTCGAGGTTGCGGCATCCTTCACTGCCTCCTGGGGGAGGCATCCTCCAAGCAGACCTGAGCGGCCCCGGGCTGGGGCGGGCGATCCACACACACAGGCGATAAGAGCACTTGGAATCAGGGCAGCCATGCAGCACTGCCCTAGGCGGGGATCCCCCAAAGTCTGACAGTTCGGGCATCAGTGAGGTGGCAGATGCCCCCTCAGCTGCCTTTGTGAGCACGCTCTTCCACGTAAAGCTGCATCTGACAAACACAAACAAACAGCCACAGTCAGCAAGACAGCCAGGGCATCCCTGCTGGAGGACACAGAAGCACCTGGTGGGCAGATCTCCGCCAAGGGTGGGGCCTCGTGGCCATAGCCGAGGTGGAGAAGAGTAGAGACGGGAGGAGCCTTCCACCAGGCATTCCCTCGTTCTCTCCCCCAAGCCCTCTAGTAAGGCCTCAGTGCCGGGCCTCACTTCCTAAGCAGCCCCTAAATAAGCTTCCCACGTCCCCACGAAGCTCACCTTTAAAATGTCCGACGTCATGGTTTTTAGTGGTATCAGACGGGGGTCATGCATGTGGACATCCTGCTCATCTGCCAGGATCCAGGGGAAATCCTAGGGAGGGGACAAAGGTCAGGGGGGTGACGGAGCTGGGCCTTTGCCTGCCCTTACTTTGCTGTCCCTCCCACTCCAGACCAGGGGCCTACAACCTGAGCCTCAGAATCACTAGGAAGCTGTTGGTGATGCAGACCCCAGGCCCCCCCATCCCCCACAGAGGCCAAGTCCATAGAACCCAAGGGACAAGCCCCAGGCACCAATGCTGAACCTGATGGGCCAGGACCCCTCCCTGGAGAGCCCCCACTTCAGAAGAGCCAGGATGAGCTGGGGGCCTCAGCAGGTGGCTCCACCTGAGCTCCTCACTGCCCCAAGTGCCCAGATGGAGCAGTGGCCAGGCCTGAGGACCTGCTGGGTACCAGGCACTGCTGCACCAATATAATGGATGGCTGGCCACAGGCAACGCCCCTGCCTGCCTGAAACTGCCACATCACGTTTCTAGAGCCTGCACCCAGACCCAGACCCGTCTCATCTCACCTTGATGACCTGGATCTTCTCCATATTGCGAGTGGCGGCTTCTCTTGTGTGCACTAGGACTGTGAAGGTACAGCCTGGAGAAGCAAGAGGTTGGTGGAGGCTCCCCCGCCGCCCTGGTGCCTGCCACTGGGCCCAGCCTCTTCCCACTTCCCTTGCTGGCTCGGCAGCACCCCCAGAGCAGATGGCAAAGCAAGTGCTAAGAAAAGCCCCAGTCAATAGGGAGATGGAAGCCAGGTGGAATCAATCAGGGAAGCTTCCCAGAGGAGGTGGACTCTCAGGGTTAGGAAGAGATGAGTCTCAGAGCAGCCAAACATGGACCTGGGAACACAGACCAACCCGAGACAACCGTGGAAACGCCAAGGGAAGAGAGGGTGGGGAGTGGACACACCTGGGGGGTTGTGGTCCAGGACGGCATCGCACACACTGATCTTCAGGATGAAGGCTCGGAGCAGCTGCTCCACGTGAGACAACAGGGAGTCTGAGCTGAGAGGAGAGGAGGTCTTCCCATCACACTGGCGCCCTCCCCTCCACCCCAGGCATCAAGCCTGGATGCAGACCTGGGGTACAGAACCCCCTCCAGTGCCTCTGAGAGTGCTGCATGCCTAGGACCCAGCTCCCTATCCGGTCCACACAATTCAAACCAGCAAGGGAGTTTACAAGAAATGCCCAGCCCCACCCCAGACAAAGTCAGAATTTGGCGGGGGGCAGGGGAGATAGAGGCGATCTCAGGAGGCCTCTCTAGGTGGTTTTAATGTGCAGCCAGGCCCAAGAACCAGGACGCCAAGCCAGGAGGGGAAAGGGCTTGCCTAAGGCCACACAGCCTGTGGGGACAGGTTGGGCATAGATTCCAGTGCCCTGACCTCACCATCAGAAGCATGCAGTTGACCAACTAACATATGTGCCAAAGGTCAACTTCAAGTTGACTGGACACTTGCCTGAGGAGTCAGAAAACTGGTTCTGTGTCCTGGGCTCTGCCCCTACCCAGGTGACCCTGGGTAGCTCATGTCATTTCTCTGGACCCATCTCAGCTGCTCACAGGCTGTCCCCTTGTCAGGCTGGCGCATCTTGCCCTTTCTCCTCCCAGGCCTTTTCCAAGGTATTCAAGGGCTGCCTTAAAGGGGTGGGTGTGTTGCCAGAGACAGACCTGCTGCCAGCTAGTGGGCGAGGGGCAGGGGCAGCCCACCTGATGGACAGCAGTGGAGGCTGGGTGATCTCAAAGACGAATTTCTCCACTGGGCGGTGCTCTTTATCCAAAATCACCACCACCACTTTCTCCACATCATTCTGCAAGGAGAGGAACCCCCGCTGCAGAGCCAGACACCCCACCCCCACTCCACCACCCCGCCTCCACCCCCTTGCCCAAGGAAGGAGGGGAAGCGGCCCACTCACAGCCCTGCTCAGCTGCTAGGCTGGGCGTCCCCAAGAGCCCAGATAGCGCGGGTTTGAGAAGCTGGCACCCTCCGGTATGAGCGGTGCAGGCTGAGGGAATAACCAGGCCCCAGAGGGAAGGTCCCAGGAAGTCTGAGATCAGGACTAGATGGGGAAGAAACCCTGAGGGGCTCAGCTCAGACAGAACGTTTAGCGTGGAGAACAGGGAACGGATGTGAGAAAAACCCAGAGCCCACCAGGGCAGTCCCTCCTCACAGCCAGCTTCAACCCAGGTTCCCAGGCCCCAGGCACCCTGCACGTGGCCCACATGCCTTGGAGCCTGCCCCTGGGTTGGGATGGTCTCCAGAGTGCAGGGAACAGGCTTCTGGGTATTGGAGCCATGAAGACGCCACAGAGTCCTAGCATCACCCCATCCCAGAGTTGGACCGTGAGCATAGAGGGACAGGGGTGAGCATGGGGTGAGGTGGCTGGGGAGCCCAGTGCACCCTCACCTTCTCCAAGAGTGGCTTGACGCAGTGCAGCGTGTCCTGGATATACTGATTCAGCTCCGGGTGGCAGGACATCTGCACACAACACCATGCGGCTGGTGAGGCCCAAAGCACAAATGGGGAAACCATCCAACACGACCAGGAGCCCAAGGCCCTGTCTGCCTTCCGTCAGAGGCCCAGCAGCTCTCCAGGGCCCCCTACCCAGAAGACCCCACTTTCCCTCAAGAGGCTAACAACTGTGAATTTATCCATGGAGAAAGAAGTTAGAAGATAAGAACTCAGGCTGGGCGCAGTGGCTCACTCCTATAATCCTGGCACTTTGAGAGGATAAGGTGGGTGGATCGCCTGAGGTCAGGAGTTTCAGACCAGCCTGGCCAAAATGGCAAAACCCCGTCTCTACTAAAAATACAAAAATTGGCCAGATAAGGTGGCATCTGTAATCCCGGCTACTCGAGAGGCTCAGGCAGGAGAATCACTTGAACCTGGGAGGCGGAGGTTGCAGTAAGCTGAGATCAAGCCACTGCACTCCAGCCTGGGCAACAAAGCAAGACTCCATCTCAAAGAAAAAAAAAAGATAAGAACTCAATCCCAATATGAGCATTTAATATACCATTAGGGGTTCTTAATGTGGGGTCGATGGACTCCTCCAGAGTCTGAAAAGTCCCTAAAGTTGTATCTTTGTGCACGTGGGCATTTTTCCAGAAAAAGGATCCAGAAAAACATAATCAGATTTCAAAAGTTAAGAACTAAGGAACTGTGAGGCCTCAGGTAAATTCCTTAACTTCTCTGAGCTTCAATCACTTCATCATAAAGAAAAAGTGAGTAAATGTCAATTTTTTTTTCCTTTTCCCTCTAAAGGTGACCTTCAACAATGTACTATGGGTTTGTTGTTGTTTGGATACTGTGGGTTTGTTGCTGTTTGTTTGGATAAAGCCATCAAATATCGCCAGTGGAAAATGCAATTAATACATGTAACATACAGAACATCATAGCTTAGCCAGGCCTACCCAAACATACTCAAAACACTTACATTAGCCCACAGTTGGGCAACATTATCTAACACAAAATCTATTTCATAATAAAGTGCTCATGCCTGTAATCCCACCACTTTGGGAGGCCAAGGCGGACGGATCACCGGAGGTCAGGAGTTCGATACCAGCCTGGCCAACACGGCAAAACCTTGTCTCTACTAAAAATACAAAAATTAGCCCGGTGTGGTGGCACACGCCTGTAATCCCCAGCTACTCGGGAGGCTGAGGCAGGAGAATCGCTTGAACCCAGAAGGTGGAAGTTACAGTGAGCCAAGATCATGTAACTGCACTCCAGGCAGGGCGACACATCGAGACTCAGTCTCAAAAAATAAAATAAAATAAAAAATAAAGTGCTGGCTTGGCCTGAAGTGGAAGAGGTTTTTTTTTTTTTGAGACAGAGTTTCGCTCTTGTCACCCAGGCTGGAATGCAGTGGCACAATCTTGGCTCACTGCAACCTCCACCTCCCAGGTTCAAGCGATTCTCCTGCCTCAGCCTCCTGAGTATCTGGGATTACAGGCGTTAGCCACCACGCCCAGCCAATTTTTGTATTTTTAGTAGAGAGGGGGTTTCATCATGTTTGTCAGGCTGGTCTCGAACTCCTGACCTCAAGTGATCCGCCCGCCTCGGCCTCCCAAAGTGCCAGGATTACAGGCGTGAGCCACCACGCCCGACCGAAGAGTTTTTAAAAGTCTAACCTGTACCCACTCTGTGGTTCTGGGACGTGCCTCACCTGGACCGGCACGTTGTACTTCTTGCGTTTCTGGAAGATGCCCACAGGGTAGACCTCGCGCACGTAGAGGATGAGATGCACAGCCACCTCCAGGAACTCGCAGAGCACATCGGCCACCACTGCAGGGGGCACAAGCCGGTGGTGCGCTCCGGGAAGCCCGCCAGCCCAGACGCCCCCGCCCCCGACCCCGCAGGTCCAGCCTCCCTACCTTGGCCAAAGTTGAGGTCTTGTCGTGTGAGCGTGGTCATCCTTCCCGCTACCTGAGTGGTGGGGCAAGGGCAGAGGGTAGTTCCAGACACCCAGGAGCCCAGAACCCGCTCGCCTCCACCGTCTCTTCCCTCCCCACAGTCCGTGGGAACTGGGGCATGACCTCCCGCTTCGCACAGGCTCAGAGCAGCTGGGAAGAACCCCCAACCCGACGCTGGCGTCCGTGCTTGGGGGCATCAGCCTCTATCCACTGGCCGCCCGCGCCCCCTCGCTCCGCCGTCTCGGGGGATGTAAAGATCACAGCGGTGCCCCCGAAAAGGGCAGGGCCGCGGACGCAGAGGGAAACAGCTGGATGCGCAGGGCCGGCAGTGCAAAGCGGGACACGCGGAAAGCAAAGCTGGGTTGGAATAAGACTCCGCCCCCTGCCCGGCCGGATCCCTCCCGGCGGGAATCCGCCCCCTCTCCCTCCCCTAGTACCGGCTCTGGGCTCGGTTCCTGCCCGAGATCGGGCCCGGCCCCGCTGCGGGGAGCCACCGACCGGACCGATCGCGCCTCCCGCTCAACCCGGGGCCTCGGCGCCGCTGGGTGACGTTCACGGCGCTCCGGCGGGTCCTAGAGCCCGCCCCGCCCAGGCCACGCCCATTCCCGCGCAGTCCAAACCCGGCCTCGCACAGGGCGGTTCCGCCTGCGGGGACTAGGCTCCGGGGGGCGGGGGCCGGGTCTCGGCGTCGGGCAGGGGCTGAGACCCGCCGCTCCACCTCCCTTCGACTTCAGGTGGGCGCGAAGAAAACACAACGTTGATCTCCAAGTTCCATCGGATTGCTACATATCTTCCCCCGAGGGCGTTTCTCTCGCTTTAGCACGCGCCGGAAGAGGGCGGGTAGGGGTTGCTGGGGAGGGCAAAGGGGAGGGTGCAGCTGGGGACTAAGGGCAGCCACATCTGAGCTAACCCGAGTCACCATTCCTGCAGCTGCCCACCTAAAAGAGGCTCCTCTGGCTCGGGGGCGGGAACAGGGGGGGACAGGGTTGCACCGGTTGTCAAGACCCGGGTGAAATTTTAAAAATTAAAAAAAGAGGGCGTGCACCGGCGCCGCCCCCGCCCCGCCCCCACCGGGTACCTAAATACAGCCTGGCCTGACGGCCCAACAAGATGAACCCTCCCCGCCCTACGCTTCAGAACAATAGCTGACCTTTATGGAGCTCCAGCCGAGTGCTGGGCACTGGGCTACGTGTGTCCCTGGATTATCTAAGTCCCCGGAGTAACTCCATGAGGCAGTTACTCTGACTGTTCCCTTTATACAGATGAGTGAAGCGAGGTGCAGAAGGGTGAATAACCTGCCGGAGTCTCCCAGCTAGTGGGGTGGGCGATGGCCGAGGTGCCTCCTGCCGCTACCTTTTACTGCTCCGAAGTCCCCCACGGACGTGGACTCCGTCTGGAAGTCCTGAAAGGGCCCTCAGAGATGATATTATTAAAATAATAAGAAATGACTAGCATCGAGTGCTTCTTATGTATCAAACACTGATTCCTGTAATTCTCTCCTTAACCCTAGCAGCTAAATCTCCACTTTACAGCCCCACTTTACAGATGGTTAAACAGGCCCCGAAACGTTCTCTAATTCGCCAAAATCACATAGTGGGAATACAAACCTAGCTCTGATGCCTCTTCTGACACCAGGGCTTCCACTTATTTACAGCCCCCTTATTTTACAACTGAGAAAACTAAGATCTGAGAAGCAGCTACGGAGTTAGTGGGCAACAAGTCAGGACCAGAAGCCAAGAAGACTTTGTCTGCGACCTCCAGGGAGGTAAGAGCTTGTTAATCCCATCCGTCTGTTTGGTCACAGATCTAGCCAGGCTTGTTTATCATTTACAGCTCATTATAGGAGACCCGGATCCCTCCCCCGACCCCCTGATGCCTTCAAACCTGCATTTCCAGACTTCTAATGGGGAGAGAAAAAGTAACTTGTAAGTAACCCATTAAGCTAGGAATGTCAGCAAAACATTTCTTCAAATGCAGTCCTAGGAAATCTGCATCAGAATCCCCCAGGAGCCCATTAATCACAGCTGCTGTGCTGCCCAGAGCAACCTGATCGAGGTGGGGTGCACAGCAGGGCACTGGCCCTTTAACAAGCTCCCCAGGGGCCCGGATGCCCAGCAAAGTGTCGGAATCGCCACAGAGGTTTGGACTGTTCCCAGAGAATATCTGCATTTTGTAAAAATATGATGCATTTTGTAAAATTGTGATGTAAAATCATCCGTCCAAAGGGACGGATGATTTTGTTTTAGGAACTGGTGCATTTGGCAGCACATTCTGGGGACAGCAACCCTTCTCAAGACGTGGGGATCCTGCCCACATCATGCCATTTCCACACAGAGCTGGCCAAACAGCTCACTGGCTTATAGACAGTGTCCCGTGGTTCCCTGAGATTGACTCATTGCAGAACTTGGGAAAAACAAGCGTCTTTCCTTTCCCTCTCTGGAGGCTGCTTAAGCAGCTTTTGTATTGGTGACAGGTAGTGGCGGTCATAGGGGGCAACTCCTTGCAAAGGAGCCCTTCAGACTGGGGCCTGGGGTGGGGAAACTGAGAGTCAGGTGACTCCTGTGGGATGGCCTTCAGGACACAGTGTGAGGGGCACTGGGGCTCAAGTCAGGCCCTCCGTCCATGGACTCCCAGCCCCAGCCCTCTGCCCCGAGAAGACACAATACAAGCCACCCATAGAATTCCTGACACACAGAGCTAAGAACGTGAGAAAAACCTTGGGGGACATAAACTCAACCCTCATTTTTCCTTGGGGAAACTGAGGTCCCAACAGCTTTTGACACTGGGGTACCCACCTTGTCAACTAGAAACCTGTGGATAAAAATATCTGGGTTTGCAAATATCGTATGTTCTCACTTGTAAGTGGGAGTTAACCTATGGGGATGCAAAGGCATAGGAATGATATATTGAACTTTGGGGACTCTAGGGGAAGGGTGGGGAGGTGAGGGACAAAAGACTATGTATTGGGTACAGTCTACACTGCTCAGGTGACGGGTGCACCAAAATCTCAGCAGTCACCGCTAAAGAACTTATCCATGTAACCCAAAATTATTGCAATTAAAAAAAAAATGTCAGCTGGGCGCAGTGGGTGGCTCGTGCCTGTAATCCCCGCACTTTGGGAGGCTGAGGCGGGCAGATCACCTGAGGTCAGGAGTTCGAGATCAACCTGACCAACATGGAGAAACCCTGTGTCTACTAAAAATACAAAATTAGCCAGGCGTGGTGGCACATGCCTGTAATCCCAGCTACTCGGGAAGTTGAGGCAGGAGAATCGCTTGAACCCGGGAGGCGGAGGTTGTGGTGAGCTGAGATCCAAGATCGCACCATTGCACTCCAGCCTGGGCAACAAGAGCAAAAACTCCATCTCAAAAAAAAAAAAAAAAGTCTGGGTTTGGGGCCTTGGGTTCAGATCCAATCACAAACAGAAGGAAGGTGGGCTAGGAAGCAGATGGGTAGGGATTCAAACCGATCTGACCCCAAACCCCCAAAAGGCTTCAGTCTCATTAGTGAAATGAACAGGCCAGACAGATGTTCCCTAAACCTCTGATGGCCTCAGGTTCCATGGGGGTGGGAGCAGGGGCAGGGGGCCGAGTCAGCATGGGCCCATCCGGGGAGCTCTGCCAACGCTCCATCCATGGGCTCCTCAGCATCTGGTTTTGCATATCTTAATCGTATCAGCATGATGGATGGTCACGGGATCCAGATTACATTATGGGGTTAATTTATTACATTTTTGAACACCCGTCTGCTGGGAAACTGTTGTTCAAAGTTATTTGCATATTTTTCACCATAATGACAATATGTAGGAAGGCAGCTGGGAAGGAAGGATGGGTGTTTAGGGGGAGCGAGAGCTTATTTGCCAACTAGAGCAGGTCCCTGAGGATCTGCAATGGGGATGGAGGGAAAATCACTCCCAAGAGACATTGAAGTGGAAACTGAGAAGGTGAGCTGTGAGCACCAGCCCAGCAAAGAGAAAGACCTGCACGCGCAGAAGAGGACTGCTGGGGTTTATGGAAAACAAACACACAGTGAGTGAACCAGGTAATAAGGTTTCCAGCCCCCAGAGGTGATTCCAAGACCCCTCCCATCTCCACCAGGCTGATGGCAGAATGAAGGTTCCCAGGACACCAATCACATGGGTATGGGGGACATACAGAGTGAGCCACACATAACCTGGTGACAATCTCCTGATACCCTGATGCTCAGGGGCCCATCCAGTTGCAATGACCCTGGGCAGGGACCCAGCCTCATTCATTATTTCAATGCAGTGCCTAGCCAAATTCAGGTTCTCTCTCTCTGTCTTTTTTTTTTTCTTTCTTTTCCAGAGACAGGGTCTCTCCTTGTCACCCAGGCTAAAGTGCAGTGGGGCAATCATAGCTCACTGCAGCCTGAAACTCCTGGGCTCAAGAGATCCTCCTACCTCAGCCTCCTGGGTAGCTAGGATTACAGGTGTGCACCACCACACCTGGCTGATTTTTAAAATTTTTTGCAGAGGCAGGATCTCACCATGTTGCCTAGGCTGGTCTCGAACTCTGGGGCTCAAGTGATCCTCCTGCCTCAGCCTCCCAAAATGCTGAGATTACAGGCTTGAGCCACCATGCCCAGCCCAAATTCAGGTTCTCGGCGAATGTGTGTCAAATGAGTGGATGAAAGAATGAGTGACAGAGGAATGAAATGATGGTGGACAGTGGCTCATTACCACTTGCCTGACTTGAATCTCAACTGAGTCTGGATGAGGAGCAAAAGACATTGGCTTCAGTGCCTGGGCTATGGGCACTATGCAGAGAAAAGTTATTTTCAAAAACAAAAGCAAGGGCTGTGGCATGTTCCCTATGGTGTCCCCAGCACCCACTCGTCCTGCTCATGTGTCCAGCCTGCTGCTTCTCTCCCCAATGCTGCCCCTTAACTAGCTGTGAGGCTCTTCTTTCTCTGAACCTCAGTTTGCTCATCTGTAAAATAGGATAATGGTAGTTCCAATTTCATAGGATTGAGCAAAGAGCAAATGCTTATGTCCATGTTCATATTTATAAAAAACATAAAGTGCACAATGCCAGGCACAGTGGCTCACTCCTATGATCCCAGGTTTTTGGGAGGCCAAGGCGGATGGACCACTTGAGCTCAGAAGTTCGAGACAAGCCTGGGCAACATGGCAAAAACTCTACAAAAAATATAAAAATTAGCTGAGCATGGTGGCATGCACCTGTAGTCCCAGCTACTTAGCGGGCTGAGGTGGGAGGATCACTTGAGCCCGGGAAATCAAGGCTGCAGTGAGCCATGTTTGTACCACTGCACTCCAACCTGGGTGATAAAGTGAGACCCTGTCTCGAAAAATAAATAAACAAATAAAATGCACAATGCCTGGCACATAAATGCTCAATTAATGGCTGTTATGACAATGATATTAAGGTCTATATACACTATTTAAGCCCCCAGAACAAACACTCTGGACAAGCTGTCGTGCTTTTCAAAACCCCATCCAAACCATCTTTAGCGGCCTCCCCATAGCTCCATTTCCATTTCCCAAGGCAGCAGGCAACTCCCAAGCTGCCCTAGGGAGGACACGTATCATCACGGAACAAGACGCCTAAAGACAAGGGCTTCCGGCCGACAGCTCCTCTCCGCTCTCATCTGCCTTCTGGTGTGAGGCCTGACCTGGTCAGCTGTCCCAGATCTCGGGGTTCACTGCTGACCTGAGATGGCTTTCAACACTGCAGCCAGAGCAAGGCCCTCACCCACCATTCCCTCTGTGGGATTCTACTGATTCCCAGTGTTGCTGACCCTTCAGTGGTCAGGGGGACCTTGCTGGTCATCTGCTCTTTTTTCATAGAGACAGGGTCTCACTGTGTTACCCAGGCTGGTCTTGAACACTTGGCCTCCAGAGTTCCTACCTCAGCTTCCCAAAGCTCGGATTACTGGCATGAGCCACCACGCCTAGCCTGGTCGTATGTTCTTAAACTTTGGGCTTCTATACAGAGACACAAAATGTCTCTTTCTCTTTTTTTTTTTTTTTTTGAGACTGAGTCTCACTCTTGTCGCCCAGGCTGGAGTGCAATGGCGTGATCTCGGCTCACTGCAACCTCCGCCTCCTTGGTGCAAGCGATTCTCCTGCCTCAGCCTCCCAAGTAGCTGGGACTACAGGCATGTGCCACCACACCTAGCTAATTTTTTTGTACTTTTAGTACAGACAGGGTTTCGCCATGCTGGCCAGGCTGGCCTTGAACTCCTGACCCCAAGTAATGTGCCCGCCTCGGCCTCCCAAAGTGCTGGGATTACAGGCTTGAGCCACTGCCCCTGGCCCAGAGACACTAAATGTCTTACACAACATCAGGAGTGTCCAGATATATTCTGCAGCCATCCTGGGCCACAAGATAAGAACTTTTGATCCAGCTCAACTGCCATTTAAAAAAAAAAAAACTTCTCTATGGAGATATAATTCACAAACCATAAGCCGGGCGCGGTGGCTCACGCCTGTA